TGGCGGTCAGTTTCAGCAGCGGCTGAATCTGGACGCCAGTTCTGACTTACATACAGATTCAACTTAAGAACAAACCTACAGTCCCTATCTTGTACGTAACCCGGGGACTGCCTGTACATGGATATTTGAGAGAGTCTTCATGATAAAGTTAATCTGGTAATAAATGCAAGGTGCAACATTTCTTATGGACCTTCCCCTGGTTCCTGTCAGTTTCAGCAGCGGCTGAATCTGGACGCCAGTTCTGACTTACATACAGATTCAACTTAAGAACAAACCTACAGTCCCTATCTTGTACGTAACCCGGGGACTGCCTGTACATGGATATTTGAGAGAGTCTTCATGATAAAGTTAATCTGGTAATAAATGCAAGGTGCAACATTTCTTATGGACCTTCCCCTGGTTCCTGTCCTTCACTTTTAACTCCAACTCAGTTAACATTACTTGTACATTTTGAAAATTTTCCTTTGATACTCAAAAACAAGTGTATAACTTTGAGGGATTTTCAAAATCTGGCATTAAGTGAAAAATCTCCTAAATCTGCAGCAATAAAGAATTTCTAAAAGATATGTTGAAATTCAGAAAGCCCTTTAATCTCTATGATTATTTCCAGTTAAATATACATAAAATGCTCAAAATAAATAATCTATACAATTTGGAGTTTCTTTAGCTTTCAAATGATGTAAAGAGAGTCTTCTATACTGCACTGGGAACATCATGACAACCAGAGACAACTACTCAGTTTATATTATCTAACTTGAAATATATTCTGTGAGCTTTGATTTCCATGCAAAAAACTTTTTAAACAGAAAATTGTGCATCAAGAGGCTAGACAGAAGAGTAACATCTGAAGAAAAACCAAGCAATTTAAAGAAGTTTTTAAATTTTACAGAAATTTGTATTTACGAAAATTACTCTACTTGCAGATTTATTCTTAAACCATAAACACACATTCCCTTAATGATATCTCCCTATGCTGGACTCATCAGCAAAAAGGTAGCCTTTGTGTGTCATATTTCTATATTTTGATGCTGACATCTGCATAATGAAAATTTTTCTTTTATGGCTGTCAATCTAATCTCTCATAGGTTTTTAATATACTTGGACTCTTAATCTGTAGCTCACTTAAAGAATAAAACTTAGGCTCAGAAAAAATCCTCAAATTTCAAGAGACAATTGGAGGGATAGAGGAAATACAGAGCAAAAGTACATTAATTTGAGTTGCAGATCATGGATGTTGTAAAATGAAGACAGCACACTCTGAATCCAATACCTTGACAACTTTACACTACAAAACATTAGGTGTGTGCGAAGGGATCCATAGAATCATAAGGTTGGAAGAGACCTGAGGAGGTTATCGAGTCCAATCCCCTGCCTAAAGCAGGACCAACCCCATCTAAATCATCCCAGCAAGGGCTTGTCAAACTAGGACTTAAAAACCCCTAGGTATAGAGATTCTACCACCTCCCTAGGTAACCCATTCCAGTGTTTGACCGCCCTCCTAGTGAAAAAGCTTTTCCTAATGTCCAACCTAGACTTCCCCCACTGTAACTTGAGAAGAGATGGGATGGGAGAAAAGAGAAGGGATTTTTTAAAATCTATTTGAGTCTAAACAAGAGATGAAATAATTAACCTTTAAAATGTTTAACTGCTAAGCATCAGCATATACTGCTCCCAGCCCTGCTCCTGGGGAGCCGGCTGTTGCCCTGCAGCACATGTAACTGTCAGGATATTTAATAGTTACTTTTTCAACCATTGTTTACATCCCTCATCTAAACCCTTAATTTGGGAAGATTAATACAAATTTAAAGGGTTGTAAACTTAATAATACTGTTCCTTTTATCATCTAAATAGTACTTAGCACTCTGAGATAAAACAGTTTCTTATTACAGGACACAGGGTATGGCACTATTACTATAGCAGAGAAGGAAGAAATAAACTTTACCTTTTAATAGTGTTAATTAACAGTGTTAGTGTCCATTAGAATTGGCAAATTGAACAGCTTGATGCCAAATAATTTATCCTTGAGATGAGATTATTTCTTAATTATTCGTAGTGTCTCTTATTTGCCTTGCTATAGTGACGCTGTGTGTGTCCCTAATAGCAAATAGCAAGATAGGCACAAAGAGCTTTTTGTAATTGCTACTGCTTTACTTTGGAACTATTTTTTTTTACTAAAATGGTTGACTGACTAGTATGATGAAATATTTGGAACAAAGTAATCACCAGTAAAGTCATTCCCTGCACCTTAAGCTCTGAAATAATTCTGTATGTACTTAGTTGCCTTCAGGCCATAACATGCGTGCTAACAAAAATGCCAGTCTCAAAACAAATACCCTCTGGAGAGAAAAGCAGCCTTAACATTATCTAAAACAATCAAACTTCTTTTGAAAGGGTCTTCCACCATAAAATTGTGCGCACCCAGGAACTTTTATAGTTCTGAAGAGAATAAATGGAAATGCATAGGACAAAGATGTTTTCCGAAACTGTAAATAGGCATTTCCTTGTAAAAGCACATTTCATTCAATGGATACAGCTATAGGCAAAAGTTAAAATTGCTCTTGTAATTTTAAGCAAGCCATATAGCAGAAGTGAGGTGTATTTAACAGTATACATTTAGGAATGAATGTATATACTTGTATTTGCTCAGTAATGTCCTATTTTTAAAAACAAGAGTGTGTCTACATAGCAGGGCTTAACATGAAATAAGCTACATAAATTGAGCTACAGCAGTTGAGAAGCTCATTTTGAAATTGAGAGCATCTACATAGCACTTATTTCAAAAATCGAGCACTCTTCTTCCAACTTCCCTTATTCCTTGTACAATGAGGGTTACAGGAGTCGAAGAAAGAAGTCCTCCAGCTTGACAGTATTTTGACACCACTGCAAAATAACTGCCTGCTGTGTAGACGCAAACTAAGTTATTTTGAAAAAACGCTAGTTATTTTGAAATAATGTTGCTGTGTAGATGTATCTTAATTTACAAAGTGTTTTTTGCATTTAAAAAAAGTCTTAACTTCTTACTACAGAACACTAATTGGGTTTCGGGACTATAAAATACTTAACACAGCAACAACAAATAAGGACATGACTTGCTTTCCCCCCAACAAAAAGAAGAAGAAAAAAAATCAAACGATCTGCAGAAAAATTGAAGGCAACATTTCTGTGAAATTGGGGGAAAGCAAGCTACCAATTAGAACTACAATGCAAGTTACTCAATTTTTAAAGTGGGGTACTGTTGAGAGAAATTGCAGACATTTCCTAGATAGGGAATCCTTTTAGCTATTTCCCCTTCATGACATTTACTTATTCTTAAATAGAAAGAATGAACAGAGATTCGATCAGAACCTTATCTTAGAAAGGGAATGAGAGCCACGGTTAAAATACAAAGACCTATTTGCAAAAGTACTTTTACCTCCTTTTACAAATCCATTGGTAGCTATGGCTGAAGTAGACAATCCTGTGATAGTTGTCACAACAGTCGCCATTCCAATAACCAAGACAGAAAGACCTTTGAAAAAGAAAAAAAGTTACAATATATTAAAAATTAAAGCTATCTTCAGAAAAAGTACATTTGCCTTGTACTTCATTGTGTCAAAAAATTGTGAGATTGTACTTTCCAAATAAGTTTAGATAACATTAGTTTGGACATCGCTCCTTTCCTACAACCTTCTCCTCTACTTTGCCACCCAGAGAGCAAGGGTTGCCTATGGTGGTGTTCAGGGAATACATATCAGACTTGGTGGGGAGAACACACTGAACTTTCTTTATCAAGAGTGTAGCAGTTCTTCCTAGAACCTTATAATGCCAAATTCAAGTATAGGTTTTACCATTCACTATCCGTATCTATCAATCTCTACTTCTGAGACCTAAACTAATAAATATATAAATAAAAAACTCAAAATAGCTATGAGAGGAGGAGTCAGATTTGCACACATACCTATCCCAGCCTGTCCTACAATCCATGACAGTCTGATGAAGAGCATCACGCCCCAAATATTCAACATACATCGTACCTAGAAGAACAAAAACACAAGACATAATATCTTTCCATAGTGTCTAGTTTTAACAGACATACAATTATTTCAGCTAGGTATTCCAAACTATGTATGAAACCTACAAATACATTCATACTTAAAACTCTGAATCGATTAGTTACTATAGCAAAGCCCCTTTTTTCTCCCAAAATATTCCATGACTGAGTGTTATTAGGTATACTACTAGCTTGGTTGGATGGAATTTTTCCATCTTTCATACCTGGAAAACTAGGAATTGTTTTCTGATCACCAGTTTCTTACCCACTCTATCTTGATCGTGGATGGGAAATTACACTGATTCAAGAACTGAAACCAAGTATGTTTGACTGAGGCCAGTTACAGAAAAAATATGCTGAATTGGTCACAGAGACCAATGAATCTCTCTTCCTCACAAGAGTCCAAAATTCACAGAGTTCTCCTCTAGTCTGCCACCCTGGGGACCCAACCGGTGCTGAAACAAAGAATTTGTTGAATCATGGAAGGTCATCATTGTCTAGCAGCATTACCAACACTTCCACTGGTTACTGGGTTCTTTAAAACAATATTTAGGGTAAATTAGAGCTAAATAACAGCACAGAACACAAAGCCAGGACTCATGGCTGTAAAAAAAAAAAAAAAAAAAAACTTTATCGGACTGTGGGAAACTTGGCCACGCCCATTATAAGTGGCTATCCAGGAACTAAAATCATGCCAGACCATGGATGTTGTCAGACCAGAGTGTGCCGGACTAAAGAGATTCAACCTGTAGAACAGTACACAACACTACAAAAACTAACAATCCCAGCTTTTAATGCTTTATTAAAGCATTGATGCAAGTGCTCTGCTGCTTCTGTCCCCAGTCCTATGCAGTGTCCTTTGTTCCTCCATTTTCCAGCAAGGACAGGCAGTGTTTAGTTATGACAAGAGTTGGAAGAGTGTCTGGGACAGACCATATCATTTCTTCTGCAACTCTGTCGTTCTGAACATTTTATTTCTGAACCCTACTGTTCTGCACTCCATTTTTTTAAAAAAGGCTTTTCGTTGCCTTTCATTTGTGTGGTTAGATGTCGTTTCTTTGCTCCTCAGGAGAATGATATAAGTAATTAAAATTTTCATTTCGCATGTCTAGGGATTTGCCAAGATCCAAAAAGCCTATTCAAAGGCCTTTCAGTGAAACATTACTCAAGTGGAAACACAGATGCATAGCTGTGTTTAACTATTCGTCTCACTAGTATCTCTCAAGTAGACAAGAATCACTAAAGGAGGATAGTTTTGAAGACTCTGTCCAATATTACGAAGCAAATGCTCAACCCACTGTGGAATGTAGAGTTTAGTATTCCAATAAGCTTTTCCTGAGGAAAAAGTGTGCATTTCCTTAGAAAAATATTTGGGGGAAGGGAGGAGTTTACACCGATTTTAAGTCAAGATGTAGAACTTCAAAGCATTACATACTTTGAAGACCAGGGTGTAAGTTTATTGCTCGCAAAGTCAATGGAGACCAGATAATTGGTCCTTGGTCTTACAAAGCTAAATCAAATGACCTCTATGACAGCTTTAAACTATTTCTCAACAGATTAATATCAGCAAGAAAATGGATAACCTGTAATTATAGCTAATGAAAAAGAATCAGTGAAGTTTATTCGATTAAATCCAAGACAAACAAAAATCCCATCCTACATGAAGTTACTTCTAATATAGCTGAATATGTTGAATTTGTATGCAAATTTCAGTCTGAGAAGGATGAAATTGTTGTAATCACTTCAGCAACTCACAATTTTAGAAATGAATATCTAAAAATAACCTGCTTTGTGTAATAATGTTTTTCATGGTATCAAAAGAAGTAAATTTTCTTCCATTTCAATATGAGTAATCTTCCCAGGCCAAACTGAAGAATAATTTTGAGATGAGGCATTAAGTACCCCAATGTAAGAGTAATAAGTTATGTCCACACTTGTACGCTAGTTCAAACAAGGGATGCAAATGTAGGCATTCAAAATAGTCAATTAAGCAGGGATTTAAAGATCCCGCGCTTCATTAGCATGATCTTGCCGACGCGTTTCACTTTCGAAACAGCTGTTGATCGCAGTAACGCGCCGGTGAGGTCATGCTAATGAAGCGCGGGATCTTTAAATCCCCGCTTCACTGACTATTTAGAACGCCTACACATTTGCATCCCTAGTTCGAACTAGGGTGCAAGTGTAGACATACCTATAGAGAGGTAGCCATGCTAGTTTTTTCTTTTGTTTTAGCAAGATCAGACTATGTAGCACTAAGTGCTACATAGTTTTTCCTTTTGTTTTACCAATGTAAGAGTGATTGCTTCCTTAAAAATACTTACTGGGTGCCTTAACTATTACCAAAGACATCTATATAATATATCTACTTACACACAAATAAATAAAGACATAGAAACAGACACAGACAGACACTAGGGATGGAAAGGACTAGTCGATTATCCATTAAGGAAATGATTATTGCAGCCTGTGTGCACCCGGCTCCCGCAGCCCCACTATTGTGTGTGGAACTCCCACTGCCCTGCCAGGAAGTAAGGATGTTAAATAGCGAGTAATTTACTAGTCCACTAGTCGAGAGGCACTTCTGCATTCCTCCTTCCTCCCGCTGGGGCTCTTGTACATCTCAAAGGAGGAATGCAGAACTCCATGTGCAGCCCAGGACCAGCGGGAAGTCCCACTGACTCTGGGCTCCATGCTGCATGCCAGCTTTGAAATGTACAAGATTCCCCAACAGGGGCTCTTGTGCATTTCAAAGCAGAAGCACCCACTTCTCATCGGCCCTGGGCTCCACGTGGTGTTCCAACTTTGAACACCTTGCTGAGCTCTTGTACATTTCAAAGGTGTAACACAGAAGTGCTTATTGACTAGTTGAGTAGTTGATGGAAATTCCATTGACTATTCAAATAGTAAATTAATCACTACTTAACATCCCTAACAGACACACAGACTGACTATCTGTAAGCCTGCTTGTTCAAGAATGCCTCCTAAATGGTAAGCGCTGGGGCCACTCAATTTGGTATGCAGTTTCCTCTTCTAACTTAAAGCAAAATCAGGATTTGGTTGTGCCAGGACAACTGGAAGCCCCAGGAAAGGGACTGTTTTTCATAACATGGAAAGTGGGAGGGCTGATGTTCAGAGGGACGCAATAGGAGAGTGACCACTGGAGGTAGCAAGCCCACAGGGGACAGCAATCCTGCAGAGTGTTCACTTAGGACAGCCTTTCCACCAAGAGCCCTCCTGCCCCAAATCCTTTTTATTCTCTCCCAGCCCTAGGAGAAAAAAAAAATGCTAACCACAAGAAGAGGGAGGCTGGGTAGAGAGAGACGTGCCATACCCCTTCCATCCCCCCCCCCCACCCTGAGGCCCTCTTCACTCACTCTTGCACACACAAACTCCCGCATTCCCCTCCCCACATCCTCAAGGCCCTGCCCTGACTCCTGCATCCTGCCCCCAGCCATGCAGCCCCCAGCCATGACAGGACCCAGGCAATATGGGTAAGTCTGCTAGTATATACATAAGAAGAAAAGAAAATTTGCTAACATCAGAATCCTAAGCCAGTTATGGGACAGCAGTGAGAGGATCAGTATGGATATATTCCCTTCAAATCCAGAAGCACTGAAGAGACGGCACCAATATTACTTTTCTATGCCTCCCCTCTAAATATTTTACTTATTTCTTGAATATGATTCAATTATCTTTACCAAAAACAGATCTACAACTGACCTTTCACTCTTGCTGGGGAATACATTCACTGAAAATATTTGAAGTAATTGGCAAGATTGCATCTATTGAAAGGCTTGGCATACCACCTACTTACTTACCAATACACCTTTTATCCAGCCAAACTTGACTATTCCCTTGCTTTCTGGGATATAAGTAGCATCAGTTTCCCCAGGAGGAGTTCCTTCTTCTCCATTTGCATATCCATCCTCAAAAGGTTCCTGTGGACAGGGAGTTAAAAATGAGTAATTTAAAAAAAACCTGACCTTACGCATCCACATGCTTGAGCAAGTGTCCAAAAGGTGATTTTAGAATTGGACACTCAATGGATAAAGTAATGAAATTTGACTAAAAACTTCATTATTAGTTAGTAAAAGTGATTACAGATAAGTTATTTATATAGTGTGTTCTAATCACAATCTGCGACTATTGTACACGTTTTCATATTTCAAATATCCAAATGGTAGAAACTTCTGAAATCCCTACAAAAAAGATTTTTGAAATAAAGTCTTGGTTTTTACTTGAAGCAGTGATTAAGTCATGCCAACTGAAAGCCTACCACAGTAATTCAGTAGTACCTACAAAAATCATTTTAACAACATTAGTATCAGACTCTTTGTTTTTAATTACAGGTAGGGTTGTCAGACATCCAGTTTTCAACTGGAACATGCAGGGTTTTTTAAAAAAAAAAAAAAAAAAAAAAGGGGGGGGGACCCTAATGGTGCTGGCCACTGGAAGTCCAGTCAGCAGCACAGCAAGGTTAAGTCGGGCAGGCTCCTTACCCACCCTGGTTTGTGCAGCTCCCAGAAGCAACTGCCATGTCCCTGTAGAGCCCCTAGATGCATGAGTAGCCAGGGAAATTCTATATGCTGGTGTAAGCTCTGGCTCCACAGTTTCTATTTGTGGAGAATTGTGGTCACCGGGAACTGTGGGCACAGGGCCTGCAGTACATGAAGCTATCTGTCTGTGCCTCCACCTGGAACAGGAGTGGGGAACCTACAGCCCACAGGCCAAACCCAGCCCACCAGTAACAGGGCTGCCCCTACCCAGGATTGGGGAACATGAGCTGGTGGTCCAGCACCACGGGCCCCCCTACATGGCTTGAGCACCAGACCCTGAGCCTCATGGGTCAGATTCAGGCAAGCCAGGGCTAGATCTAGTTTGTAAGCTCTGCCTACCAAGGGAGAGTAAGCAGCTCCGCGCATTACTGCTCCCCATCACCCCAGCTAAGAGAATGGTAGTGCAGGGAGGCGCTCACCTGCACCCTTTTCCCCACTGCTCCCATTGGCCAGAATCATGGCCAAGTGCTTGGGAGCAGCAGGAAGCTATGAAGCCATGTGTGTCCCTGGGGAGCTCTGCAGGTAAGCGCCTCCAAATGTCCATACCCCACATTTCCATACCACTCCTGCACTTCCACTCCAGCACCCTACCGCCTGCCCAGCCCCTCACACCCCAGCATCCTGTCTCTACTCCAGCCCCACTTCCCATCAGCCCCCTCCCACACACTGAACTAGGGATGTAAAATCCCACTTAATTGGTTAACCAATTATAAGATGGGTGATGGGGGGGCTGCTCCCACCAGGCTGGAGCACCCCTGCCTGTGGCAGGACTGATTTTTCTGCAGATCAGTGGCCCTCCAAGCCAAAAAGTTTCCTCATCCCTGGCTTAGAAGGTGCAGGGACATGCTGGCTACTTCCGGGCGCCTCTGAAGGTAAATGCCACTTGGATAAAGACATTTGGAAGGAAAAGGTCCACTAACAGAATGATCACAAATTCCAAATACCACAACTCAAACCCTTCTAAAGAGATTAACACCAGACACTGCCTGCTCTGAGTCTGAGGACAAGTAGATTCAAGCTTCAAAAAGCATACACCATAGCAGATTTTTTTCCTGTGGGATAGCAGGGAAGAGGAAATAATCTAGAAAGCATTCCTGGTGACTGATTGCATGTGTGTGCGTGTGTACACACACACACACTTTTGGTTGTCAAACTGATTCAACAGAATGCTTCACTATTTGAAGATCAAATGGGTCACTTTCCATATTAGCTCTATCTAATGTCATAGTGAGTCACTCAATTTAGACTGCAGATCTTTAAGCCAACTTTGAGAATAATTTACACTAGCAGAGTGATATAAATCACCCCTTTATTTTATGTTACATCAAAGGCAGTAAGCTTAGATTTAATATCAACACTTGGAAAAAGCAGGAAAGAAAAAACTTTGCAATGACAACAGCAAGGAATTCATTATATGATGAAAGTCACCTCTTTGTATTTCAGTAACTATGCTGCTTTGTCATGGATCTCTAGAATACACAAGGCCAGAGAAGCTGCCACCATCTACCCTGATTTAAGTTCTCACCAGAGTTCCTATGTTAAAAATCTGCTTTCTCCAAAGACCTCTTTTGGGCCACTCTCTAAGGATGTGAAAGATTAACCAGTTAATTAGCTAACCAGTAAGCATCACCCTAAACGGGTAATGCTTACCAGTTCCAGTTGGGGCTGGAGCATCTCCCCGACCATCCCAGGCAGGGGGGCTATTCCAGTGCTAGAGCTCACCACAGGCAGGGGCTGGCATCTGAAGTGGGCCCAGCCCACTCCCCCACTGCCACAGGTTACATGGTGGCTCCCCCAGAGCAGGGCCTGCAGCTCTTGCTGGCTCAGCTCCTGTGGAAATGGATTTGCTGCAGCAGTGAAGCCTCTTCCTTAGGAGCGGGGCGGGCAGGGGCTCCCTTATTTAAGCTTCATATTGCAGAACCCGCAGCATGTGAAACCTCTTGAGATTTTCAGCGATTACAGGTTCATCTATTTAACCAACTTTTTACATCACTTCCTTTGACTAAAGTGAGTGACCATGGCAGGGAGTAGTTTGATCAATGGAAGTAATCTCATTACAGTACTTGTCATACATGAAGCTATAGCTCTGAACAAACGTTTTCATAATTTAGAAGGACAAAAATAAACTTATCATTGCTCTGAAATCCACAATTGCCAAAAAATTACCATGAATACTCTTTAGTGCCAATAAATAAAATACACAGTTGTCTTTTGTTATAGAAAAGCATGAAACTGCTTGCAACTGATTTAATTTTTCTTTTTAAATCAAAACATAAAAAGACCCCTGTGTTTATATTATCCAAGCCATTTTATGTTTTGGCCAACAGAGGACCATCAACATTTGATAAATTTCTTTTTCTTTCACAAAAAAAAAAAAAAAAAAAACACAATATCATGTTTCTAATAAGAACAAACGAACGAACAGAGGGTTATTGAAAAAATGCAGAGAGGATTAAGAGGGGAGAGGTAACAATTTTCAAGTGTCTCACAGCACTCAAATCACCTAGTACCCTTCTGATTGTACAATGGACCTACCTTAATACTGTAATTTTATCAAACTCACATTACTTAGTTGTTATATTCAACCATCAAAGAATAATAGTTTCCATTTAATCTGTTGAACACGTTTATATTCTTGGTATTCTTTTAAGACAAATAAATACCATTCATCATTCTTATGTGCAATAAACAATTAAGTAGGCTACAGCAATACCACAGCTCTCATCTTTTTGGTAGCTACTACCAACAGATAAATATTTATAAAATTCACTAGTTTTTAAACCGATTTCATGGTTCTGATTTTTTTAAGGATATACATAAAGGATCCTAGGTTTCAGGGAGTTATGAACTATCAAATCAGCCCTAGATAATGTTCACCAATCTATTAATAAGAGATGGATGTTTTGTCCTCTATGTCTCATCTGTCTCCACTATGTAAAGTTCTGTAGGAAAGTACTTCCCAGTACATGAATTGCTTAAAAGTTATTGTTGGTTATCAGTGCCAGTGGATGCTTTTTTAATAATTCAGAAATGAGAACAGTGAGACATTCTGAAAGTCTGTGGGTGCAAAAGAATTCCACTGTGTTTGTATGATGAAAAGTAGGAAGCCTAAGCTTGGCTTCAGACTAATGGATTGTTTAAAGAATAAGTTAGTGTGCAGCAAGCCAGGGTGTGTAATCTACAGCACACCAGCTGACCATGCATTAAATTCACCATTTAATCAAATGTTCATACTGGGCTGCGGAAAGGACACCGTTTAATCTTATCCTACATGAAGTGACTGGGGGTGGGTTAGGATCAGACTCACTCCCAGAAACCTCCACTGGCTACAGGAAGTTTCACCCATCTTACTTCCTGCCCCCATAGGGAGCTGCTTTCCCATCCATCTAACTCTTGTGCACCTAGACCCCCACCCATTATCTAGATCTCTCGAAAACCCAGAATCCCCCACATGAATTCCTGCACCACTAAGCCCTAAGCCTGTTCCCAGGTCCCTGTCAGCCTGTCTCCCCTGCATCTGGACCTCCACAACTGCACCCAGATCATCCCCTTCTTAACTCCCCACATTTGAACCTCACAACCCCAGTGCACCCCATATCTCCTGCACCTGGATCTCCCTGCAGAGCCCTTCACAACCAGACACCCTGCCAAGCCCTATCACACCCCACTCACCAATCTTCTCACTGAGCCCTCAACCACCTTTACCTAGACCCTCTGCAGAATCCCCTCCCCACCCCCGGAACCACCCAGAGAGAGCCACCGTGCATCCAGATGGCAGCTAGATTGCCCCACACAGAACCCTCTCAATTGTGAAGTGCTGGAAATAATGGTACTGTGGGTGTGGCAACACCCCTAGTTTGAAGTGGTTTTCATAGTTTACAGTTTTGTTTCAGCATCGCCGCCTAAAGACCTGATATGAATTGGGGAGAAACCTGCCTCCACCAATTATAAGAGCCCATTCAAGTCAAGCACAGACTTCCTCGACAGTCTTTGTGATGCACATCCCTATCCAGCATCTCTGTAGAGCCACAACATCGTCCTGTCCACATGTTCATGGTCCATTATGCCATCATTCTGCAGGGAAGAGATGATG